GAAGGAATGAAAACATGGCTCATCCAGCTGCTAGCTGAACATCAAAATGCAAGGAAATTAGAAGAATATAAAAATATTAAATTATCATGGTTTGGAAGAATAGCATCAGTAAAAATGAAATTTTTACCTAAGAGAATTTTTTTTGTTTAGGATGTTACCAATAAAAATATCAGATGTGGAAATAAAAAACTGACAAGTATTAGTAAATAATTTTTGTAACAGGAATTAAAAAATTGAAGATTAATAAAATATATTGGTATAAACCCCAAAAAAGATGGAGGCTTGGGTCTCCTAAATTTAAAATGGTTTATAACGCAAATCAATTAAGATATATTATAGATGGAATTATAGAGAAAGGGGAGTTAGATTGGTTAGAGATGGAAACAACAGAAGTATTATTATTATTATTATTATTATTAAACTTTATTTCTAGAGCGCTGTAATTATACACAGCGCTGTACAAAGTAAAAAAGTTACAAATATAAAAAAGCCTGCCCACGGCGTACACTCTAAGAAATAAAATAAATAGATAAACAAATTACCATATAGAGGAAAAAATTAAAAAATCAAATATCAAACAAATCAAATGACATCAAATCACAAATCACGACACAATTAACATTATCAGAACAATTACCAGATTATCAAACAGCCAGATAACAGTGTAGAGAAAAAAAGTGGAAAATGTATATTTTCAAGGACTTTACCATGAAAGAATGAAAGAAATAGAAAACCCCTTTCTAAAGAATATACTAGAGATCTGGAAAAAATATAAAGAAAACTTAATGCCAGCTACCTCACCATTAACACCAGTTATAATGATAAAAAACTTTCCAATAAATTTAAAGGAAGAATTAGGGAAAGAGTTAAGGAAACAAGAAATATATAGGATAAAAGAATGGATCAAGATAATGAAGGATAAAGGAAAGATAAAGGAGAAATTACAAAGTTTAAAATTAACCTGGTTTAGTTGTATACAACTGGAACAATGGACAAAAATTGGAATAGGAAAATTATAGAATTAAGAGAATACATGAAATTTGAACAAATGATTAGGCAAAGAGATAGTATGGAGATAAATGAAACTTTGAAAGAGTTACAGTGAAATATAAAACTACTATTAAAATATAATAAGAAAGAAGAATAACTTAAGGCAATATGGGAGGAGGATTTAGCACAAATAATAAATGCCCAAGAATGGGGGGAAATTTGGAATAAATGCCATTTAAAAATTTATCCATACAGATAAAGGAAAATTGCTATAAATTAATATGGGGATGGTATTTAACACCAGTAAGGTTAAATAATATAAATAAAAATTATTCAAGGATATGTTGGGGGGGATGCCAAGAAATCGGTAGATATATTCATATGTGGTGGAGAAATAACAGAAATTGATCTAGAAGTTTGTCCAAAGATAGCATTATTATCTATATATGATAAGATCAATTGTACTCAAGCTAGAAAGGATTTAATTACAAATTTATTAACAGTGGCAAAATTAATCATAGCAAAAAAAAGTGGAAAGATCAGGGTGATCTACACATACAAGATTGGTATAAAGAGATATGGCAAATAGCAATTAATGACAAGTTAACTTTTGGAATTAAGGTATAAAAAGGAATAATGAAGGGAAATGATTGTGAAGCAAGATGGAAAATATTTCTACAAATGGCTTTAGTGAAGGAGGGAGGTGTTTTACCTACACAAGAAGAGTTACAATTTTGGAGGGAAGTGTAACATGAAGATACTAGGCTCTGGTGATGGGAGCACCTGGGGAAGGGGAGAAATAATAAAGAGAAGTAAGAGAGGGAGAAAGAAAAGAAAAGAAAAGAAAAGAAAAGGGGGAAATGAATTAGTGATAAATTAACAGCATTATACCTATGTGGAATTGGTAAGAAGAATGAAGATATTAACAACAATTTTATGTGGCTGGTGTGTTTTTTTTTTCTAATTTATTTACAGGTTTGGTCAATATTACATGGTTTAATACAAATTAGATTTATAAAGTAGTAAAGAATGAATAATTAATTTGAGTTACCATATATATGTGGAATATTATGTAAAAGTTTTTTGAATGTTATTGTATGTAGGTTGTAATACTAATAAAGAATTTTATATCCCCCTCCAAAAAAAAAGCTAGAGGGACAGATAACAAAATGCTAATAATATTAAAGAAGTGCCACATTGCACAAAATTAGGGGGTTCAGGAGGTTCAAAGTGCACCAGGTGACACCTTAAGG